TGAGCTAAAGTTATGTACAACTTTAATGTCATCTATAACATCATCCCAACTCTACTAGCCTAAACAGTTCATTTTATTTTAGTCAGATTTATTAAATAAATCTTTTCGATGTTTAAACATAGTTGAGTAAATTGTGTACTTAGGTTCAAGTGTCTTTGTGCATATTAGTTTACTTCAGCTAACAAATATTTAAATCACTTGATGGGGGCTTTTTAAAGTAATGCCAGGAGAGGAGACCAGTCGCAGGGGTTAACTGAGCACCTGGATTATATCACAGTGGGTGTATCCAGATATCTATCTATCCCTTCTCCTTCTCCTGTGGATACAAGTACAGCAACTTTCATTTCATGGAACGAGCCACTCGCTGTTTTCTTGGCTATCCAGGACTGTCTAGGATCAACATAGCTTAGATAATAGTCCAGTTTCTCACGTGGGTGGGCATTGTTAAGGTTCAAACCCACACCCTCACTATATCAGTGTATTTACCCACGTGGGCGCGCGACAATGTTTATCATTTTCAGGACAAAACGTTTTCATCATCAAGTGGTTTGCCAACTGGTGTGGGCAATCATGACTCTCCACATTCTGTCATCTACAGCCTGTATCAGTTTGTGTACTGACACCCCTCCACATTCTGTCATCTTCAACAGCCTGTATCAGTTTGTGTGCTGACACCCCTCCACATTCTGTCATCTTCAACAGCCTGTATCAGTTTGTGTGCTGACACCCCTCCACATTCTGTCATCTTTAACAGCCTGCATCAGTTTGTGTGCTGACACCCCTCCACATTCTGTCATCTTCAACAGCCTGTATCAGTTTTGTTTGTTGACACCCCTCCACATTCTGTCATCTCCAACAGCCTGCATCAGTTTTGTGTGTTGACACCCCTCCACATTGTGTCATCTCCAACAGCCTGCATCAGTTTGTGTGTTGACATCCCTCAACATCATGATAACAGGCTGTCAAGAATAGTCTTGTCTTGTCTTCCTTTGTCTCTTTTTCCCACAGATCTTTCCAGTGGTCACCAAATGTTTTGGTTTGCCCTCTTCTCACAACATGGCTTGATGTTTGTGATGTGTTGTCTTCAAGCCCTAGCTTCTTTTAAAACATCTGGGTTGCTCTTTTTTGGCTTTCCTAGGAATCTCAAGCATTATTCTGTCAAACTAGACCTCCAGAGCCTCAAGAAATTGATTAGCTTGTGTACTCATTGTGGGGGATTCACCATAATATTCAATTGGCTCCACGCAGCATGCAAGAACTCTTTTCCTAACCTCTAATGACATGGATTTATTGAATAAAAAAATTTTGTTTTTTAAATGCAATGTTAGTCTGTCTTATTCCATTCTTTATCTCTGTGGTGAACACAGAGGACAAAACACAGACAAGGAAAAACTATCAGACTCATAAAGATAAAATAGACTTATATAGATTAAACTGACTCACATAGACTAAACATAAACAAGTGAACTGAAAAATGTTTACAATGTTCACTGTCCTTATACTTCATTTAAGGGCACAGTTAAAACAGCGGAGAAAAACAAGAACAGTTTCTAATAAACTACAAAAATGTATTAACTGGTGCTAGAATCACCAACGTGGAGCTTTGGGAGAGAACCAAACATTTTCAGTGAATCAAGAGGGGGAAAAAAGACATACATGCTGAGAAAACAAGAGAACAATAGAACTAGAATGTCTTTACACTGAAACCCTCATAGCACAGAAATAAAGAAAGACTCAACATACACACACACATACACAAATGGAGAAGGTAAATTTGTGGGTGTAACTTCACTCTCTAATTCTTTTCTCAAGAAAAGATGGGAAAGACATGGGGGTGAGCCGCATGTGAAAGCCACGGATAAAATAACTTAGCCTAAGTGGTTATGGGCCTAATGCTTGATTCGGGGAAAAAGGGGCAGAAGAAGGACAGGGAAGTTGGGGTCATTTTTAGCCTGAGGATTTCGGGCTGTATGGCTAGTACAGCTGCCATGGCTTGTCTATGTTGGTAATTAATTTTTACCCCTGACCAAAAAATCACAACACCTAAACGTAGACTGAAACCTGGTCCTTCTTTCAAAGTCAGAGTGCATCTGCCTGACAGACGAGGAACCACTGGTCTACATAAAAACAAATAAGCCAGATCAGTAAAACGAATGTGCATGTAAAAGTCCAGTTCTGGGACACGACCAGAGACCGGTAGGGGATGAACTTTCTGCCTGAGTTTACAGCCATGAAAGCTAAGAAGTAGAAGAAGAAACCTGGACCTGCAAATGACAACCCAGTGCTCTAACCGCTCGGATCAAGGCTCCTTAATTACAAAGATAATCATGATAGAACTGTAGTTTAAAAAATAAAAAAAATAAAGCAGCATGAGAACTTAGATATATTGGTAAAAGCATCAAAGACAGTAATAACAAGAAGAAAAATATTCACAAAGGTACAGCCAGCAATGTGCCAACAAGTCATCTCTCTATATTGAAATGACATGAATCATGCAAAGGAAGTTTTTTTTAAAGAAAAAGCAATATGTTCTTACCTGTTCTCTGAATTTCTCAAGTGTTGTTGTCTCTATGTCAGATTTTCCCTTGCTGCCAGTTTTCACAGTCAAATGTGGATAATTCTCAACCAAATAATCCAAAAAGTCTGGCATAGGCTTAGCTGCCCCATGAACAATACCCATTACACAGCGGCTCTCACCCTCAGCAACCTCTCCAAACACCAGATCGAAATAGTGGTCCACAAACTCCCGCATGGTCAAATCGTCCAGCTCGGTCAACTCTTCGTGATAAGCATGGATGACCAGTGCTCCCCCATTTGTGTACTTTTCCACGGAAATATATTTTCGGAATCTCGGCTGTATCACATCATGAAGCAAATTTTTATCAGAGATGATACGCAGTAAATGATCTATATGAGACACGTGGTGGGAACCTTTCAGGTGTTTTGACTGATCAGATAAAACTGTAGCTTCTCCACTTAAATTCACCTGAACTCCTTGATTCACTCGGGACTTTGATGGTCTTGATGATGACGCTGTATGTTTGTGTTCTTTATGGCCAAGACTTGATGGATGACGACTTTGAGATTTAGATGACGAAGACGATGAACTTCGGTCTTTAGATGTTGACTGCGATCTATGTTTATCTTTATGGCGGGAACTGGAGGAATGACTACTCTGTTTTGAGGGTGATGTGGTTGATATGGTTGTGAACAATGAAGTAGATTTTGAAGAACTACCAGAATGACTGTCATTAGGTGAAATTGAATGTTTATCCTTCAAAGAAAATAATTGCTTTGATGAGTCAACCTTAGATAATGCAGGCAGCACTGTTTTGGTTGAATGTGCAGACTTACTTTCAGTTTTCTTGGTCTTGTTGGGTATATTAAGAGATGAAGTACCACTTGAAGTGATCAGCTTTCCACTGTTGTTCTTACTTACAGGATGAACCTGTTGCCCAGGATCTGTTTGCCCTAAATCTGACTGACTACAACTCTTAGTTTCAGAATTACAAACGGCAGTGCCACAAACTTCACTTTCTGCCATGGTATCACCATCTTTACTATTCAGTATTGAGTGTTTTAAGATAAATGAAGCAGAACTATTGTTAACAGCTGGTTCACTCTTAACGTCATCCATTTTAGCAGATTGAACTAAAGCACATGAATCAACTTTAGGACACTTTAGATTCTCAGGTGCAACACTGTTCTCCTCCTTCACTTCTAAATGCAGGATATTCTTGACATCAAAGTCTTCCCAGCACTGATTAACTAGGTCACCACTTTGTACTGAACTTAACTTCTCAGTTGTATCTGAACTCAGGTAACTCGTAACAGAATCCTTTAACTCTTCCTGCTTGACGTCCGATTCCTTACCTACAACATCCTGCTGATCACTTACAACCTTATCTGGTAGCACATTCTGAAGACATGAACTGTCAGTATCTTCCTTATCACCTGCTGCACTCACATCTTCTGATCCACCATCTGTACCACTTCCTGCTACAAAACCAACCCCATTGCTCAGAACCAAAGAACCTGCACCTTTATCCAAAGTGGTCTCACTGTTACCTGAATGCTGTCCAGTCTTTGAACTATTCAGACTCTGCTGACCCCCATCAGCCTGTTGGTCAGCATCAATACGCTGGTCAGTATGAACATTGTAGCCACCATTCTCAACTTTGGCAACAGCTTCTTGTGTGTCTTTATTAATTTTCACAGAAGCCCGAGCCTTAAATGGATCCCGAATAACAAACTTCAAAGGTGATATCTGCAGCAGCTCCCGCTCCCCATCAACCCTGTCTGTGTGTGAGTCATGTCTCTTATTCTGTCTCTTGTGCTCAGAATCATGATGATGGTGGTGGTGGTGATGATGGTGGTGGTGGTGATGTTTGTGGCTGGTGTTCGAATCCAGTTCTGATGCTGGCTGCTCTTGTAATGAGCCATTGTTATTAGCAGACTTGTGTTTGTGGTGATGTAAATGACGACTGACCGTCTCCCCATTTTTCTCAGAGCTCACAAGACCTAAAAACATATGAAAAGATATTAATAAATAAGGAGTACCAACAGCTGTCCCGGCACATATCACAGTAAGTAAGAACATTAAGAAGAAGACAGAGAAAACTAAAGGTAGTGGTCTATCATAATCTGGCTTATTTCCAATAAAACAGTAGTCTTTCATATTGTCTGGCTTATGTACCAGTAAAACAGTGGTCTGCCATAGTGTCTAGGTTATGTACCAGCATAACAGTGGTTTGTCATAGTGTCTGGCTTATGTACCAGTAAAACAGTGGTTTGTTATAATCTGGCTTATTCCCAATAAAACAGTAGTATTTCATATTGTCTGGCATATGTACTAGTAAAACAGTGGTCTGTCACAGTGTCTGACTTATGTAACAGTAAAACAGTCGTCTGCCATAGTATCTAGCTTATGTACCAGCATAAAAGTGGTCTGTCATAGTTTCTGGCTTATGTACCAGTAAAATAGTGGATTGTCACATTGTCTGGCTTATGTGCCAGTAAAACTATGGTTTTTCAAAATTTGGCTTATGTACCAGTAAAACAGTGGTTTGTCATTTGTCTGGATTAACCCACCCAGCAAAAAAGGGTTTGTCATAATCTGGCTTGTGTACCAGTAAAACGGTGGTTTGCTATATTGTCTGGATTGACCCATGCAGTAAAAATGTAGTTTGCCATAGTGTTTGGCTTAACTAAGGCCCGAGCAAGGCTGTGAGCGTTGACTGAGAAGTTCCAATTTGCCCAAACAACACTGAGAGCGTCATGCGTGTCCCATATATTGCTTGGCACATGGCTCCGTATTTGTTTATAATGTTCGGAGCCACTTTCAAGTATTCAGGGAAGGTTTCTCTAACATTTTTTTTGTACAGTAGCCTTTATTCAGCCATGTGTAGTCACAAACAGATCTCATTCCTTTCCAGACCGTGCATTTTGTAATTTTGTGTTCGACGCCATGAACACCAGTGTTCCAACCAAAAGTACAGGCCGCAATTTGGGTCTTTCTGTGGCCGGAGCTCATAAATTGTTTTATTCTGATGTTTTCAATTCTGATAATGATAATTTAGATTTTCCTGAAAGTGATTCAGATGGTCTATTCATACCAACATCAGCTAAGCGATCGGCTGTTTGGAAATCTAGTGACTCTGGTGAGCTGGACATAGAGAATGTTCCATTGCTACTGTATTTAAGGTGTAGGAGAAGGAAAGTGCTCTAAACAAATAGACAGTACCATACTATGGCTAAGTTTCACTGAAATCATTGCAGCTACAGTCTGTATATAACTGTACAATTAAATAGTAAATAGTGTGTGTGTAATGGTCAATTTTTCTGGAAAAAAAATGTCAGCATTGTCTGAGAACTTAAAGCCTATGCTAAACTAATCCAGAAACTTATAATAAATTTCAGAAATGTTGGGAAATGAACAAATTTTAATGTATAATTCTCAAATTTAGATATTCGCTGTTCTTATGGCTGCAAAACCATTGTAAGTGAAGAATTTTTTATTTTTATGTGCTAATATTTAATAACTAACACAATTATTTGTTGTAGCTATATTTTATAATTATTCCTCAAATATCCCTGGTCACTTTCATGTATAATATGTGTATGTTGCGTGGTAATTGAATTAGTATGGTCTGTTTTAATTTGTGACATAAAATAATTGCACTACCACCTCTTGGGCTTCTGATGCTAAACCCCCTGGGACTCAAAACAAAGAGTTAACACCTGCTGATTTCTTCTTTCCAACTAACTACAACAGTATTAAACATACACTTATTATATTCAAAAAATAATTTTTTTTTTTAAATATACTTTTGTAGGGATTAAAAGTATGGTACCCCTGTGTGGGTTCTGGGACCCCATTGTGGGGGAAAACAAGAATAGACGTACTGCCTCCCCAAAAGCATGTCGTAAGAGTCGACTAATTGGGGAGCTTCCTTTGAAGTCGGAGTGAGCTGCCGGAGAGGCAAGGAACAAACAGTCTGTATTCAAGAGAATGAGATCTGTAAAACTGATGCACACGCAACACTCAGGTTCTGGAGCAGGACTGCAGTTCAGTAGTGGACGAGCAACCAGAACTTTCCGCCAGAGTGTACAGCTGGTGAACGCGAAGAAGAAGAAAAGTATTATACATTCTCTATTGTACACCTCCCTCTCTGCCATTTTTGTAAAGGGAAATTAATGTGGGCCAAGTCTGTCAAAATGCATGGGCCTGAAAGAGTTAATCTACCAGTAAAATAATCATGACAGTATCAGCACCAGTAAAACAGTGGTATGTCATATTGTCCGACTTATGTGCCAGTAAAACAGATTGCTATACTTTGTTTACCCCTCGCCCTATAAGTGCCAATTAGCACAGCTTATATTATATAACTCATAACTTATCAGTCAGTCATCAAAGTGGGCATTTTGTCTGCTATTAATACTATTATTTTTTGGGGTGCACTTTTACAGCTATTATGCAGTAAAATGACGTACTAATTCATCAGAAAGTATACTCCATTCTTAAAGAACATGTTAATATTTTACAGGCATATGTAACTGAAGTATTTCCCAACGTGTTACAGTTAAATTTACCTGTACTGTTATCCAAATACTGCGGCGACAACCTGGGAACGTTCACGGGCGACTTGGTCCTGGGTGACACACTCCTGCTCCTTCCAGGAGATATGGGCAAAATGTCCGCGTCTGTCGGAGACGTAAACCTTTTATCTTTCCCGTTCTCGTAATCATCGACATATCCAGAACTAGACAATCGACGATAATCATGATGAATTCTCCGTCTCTTCCCTTCAGGACTCGAGGTTTCCGACGAAGGAGGGGACTGAGAAGTTGGATTATTTCCGTTACCGTGAAAGTTCACTTGTGGAATATGCAGCTTCAACCGTTTGGGGCTGGGTTCTTGAAACTTATCTCCGCCGTCGACGCTGTCACATTTGACGGTTAATGTATGACTGTTGGTTTCCTCCGCTACGTGACGAGAAACATGTTCGACATGTTTATGCTCGCCGTCCTCTGTTCCTATCGTCTGCTCCCCAAACATGGCTGTCTCTGGCGAACCCATCGACGTCCCGTTTACAAATATCCCGCTCCCCAACGCGCAATCACTAATATCATTTGCTAAATGCACCTTTAAAGACTGATCGACACTGTGAATAAACTCCTCCACCGCAGAAAACGACTGACTATCCACGTTATTTTGAATCTTTTGTAAACATAATTCCTTTTCGTCGGCCATTTTGATTTACCAATAGTCGTTTAATGGTGACCTAGTTGTTGCTATATTTTGATTGGCTCACACCACATTTTTTTTTTTTCGTTTAGGAATCCCCAAACACCAGCCAATCAGCGCCCACAAAAGCTTGGGGGAAATACGGCGGTGCGCATGCGTGTATTTTTTAATGTTGAAAAATAAACTTCCGGGCAGGGCGGCAGTTTGTCCTTGTTTATGTCATGGGTCCCCCGACCCCGTCCCTCCCGCCGCGCCGGGGTCATGACAGGTAACGTCCTGACATTGTGTAATAGGTTTAACCTTACTTCGCACGGCCAGATTACAGGTTACCCCTGGCTATTGTAGCGTTACGCAAAGACGCCGGGACTTGAACCTGTTCAATGAGACTCAACCAGGACCGGAATTAGACTTGATGAGGTTCAACCCTATATAGCGCTCTGAAGTCCCTGTGATTTGAATGACACCAACAAGTCTAAAAGAACTTTAAAATATATAGGCCCTTTAACCATTTCAGTCCCAGCAGATTTAAAAAAAAAATTAATATACAAACGGAATCATCATCAGCATGTAGCAGGTCCTTTGCAGAACGTCGCTCTCATCACAGTCTGCCTGAAGGAAACTCCAGTTCTCCTGCCTCATGCACTTTCACACTCAAGGAGTCACTTATATCCTGTGCCCATCTTCGTGTCGGTCGACCACTGCCCCTCCTTCCTGGTACCATGCCTTCTGCTATATGTTTTTCCAATCGTAGTGGCGCTTGATATGACGAAATTTTTCAGCTTTCAAGAAAGGATGCTGTTTATTAGCCAATCTTCCTTGACGCTCGGATCTTTTAAGATGTCAATATTTCTCATCTTCCTTGTCCAAGATATACTGAGAATCTTTCAATAGAATTTCAGCTCAAAAGTCTCTATTCTCTTTCTTAAGGACTGAGAGATAGTCCACGACTCACATCCGTATGTAGACACAGGGAAGATGCATGCTCTCAAAATTCTAATTTTTATCTCCTTGCTGGTGCTTAACCCTAGACTTTTAAGGCTGTTCAATCTTTGCATTGCTATGGCCATTCTCCTTTTAATTTCTGTCGAACAGTCTCCATTGTTGTTTATTATAGAGCCTAGATATTCAAAGTTGGTGACATTTTCATTTTCTTCATCATTTATTGTTATTTTTTAGTGACAGCCAGTTTTATATGTGGACATTATTTTCGTTTTCTTTAAATTCAAGATTTTGATCTTCACTGTATATTAGGTTTACATTGATTGTGAAGAGCTGGAGACAGTTGACCATTTTACTTACCTGGGTTCCACAGTAAATAATAAACTATCTCTGGATCCAGAAATCAACACCAGGATCGGTAAGGCAGCAACAACAGGGAGCAGATTAACCAAAAGAGTTTGGGAGACGTACCATTAAAACAAAAACTCTTGTCTATCAGCCTTGAGTTCTCAGCACTCTGCTTTGTGGCAGTGATAGTGGTGCAGAACGGGCCAGTCTATCTACCTGCCCATTTCCCAACACACCGGCACGACCATCTGTTGGGATGAAAGGCTCAAAGTTGGGGGGGGAGGGGGGGGGGGGGTGGGGGAGGTAAGACGAGTAGTTAACCAGAAGACAGCGGGTATCACCAGTATGGGTATTCTTCTCGCTGTTTGTTGACGAAGAAGACAAAGCTCATGTCCACTTGTCCAGAATGCTGTAATGTAAAGGACCCTTGTTCACACCTTTAAGCATACCAGACACATAAGGCTCGACCTATATTTCATAAACCAACAGACACTTGGTAGGTGATGTGGTCAGCATCACACCAGCCGCCTTTACTTCCAATGACTTTTACCTGGTACCTGTAACTGAACTGGTCAAAATTGACGCTAGGCACGGTCACTTTTTTCTTCTACCAGACGGTGGCCGGTGCATTTTTACTCCATTTGTAGTCTGAAAGTATATAGTTTCGTAGCCCAGCTTCTGAGTGGAATGCATGGCGTGACCCTGTGAGCTGCGGATTTAATTTGGAATGTTTTTCTACTGTGACCAACGAGGTGGTGTGAATTATAGATTCAGAAAATAGCGCGATGCCTGTTGTCGCAATATTGGTGATGCCATTAAAATTGATCGCGTGTGCAACTGCTGATCTGTTGGTAACTTCTGCTACCATCCATGATGAACTGCATTTCTTATGTCGGACTGTTTTGTTAGCACTTAGGATGACTACCGTATGCTCTTAATGCGTAGTATGCTAGTGCGTATGCTGAGACAGCAGTCTGTCAATCTTTCCACAAGGGACTGTGATAAACGTTATGTGTGTTTTTCGTTGGCACAAGAGCGGATTAACTATGGGGTGACCCGTTTGCTATAAAGCTGAAACTAAGATTACCAGATTACCTGTAGGGCTGGGTCGACTTGGGAGGCAAGATCAGTTGGAGAAACAGACTGGCGTCGTCTGGATTTGGACCCAGGTACTTCGGATCCGCACGCAAGCTTCTAACCGCTACACCACTACGGCTCCCTGGCGAATCTTTACCTACATGAAATTATCAACGGTTTACGATTAGGTACTTTTGTTTTATTCAACCCAATAAAGGGAATCCAATTCCGAGGTTCCCACGACAGTCCAATATACTGTTTTTACGGGTTTATTGAAACGACATCTGATGTGATTTTACTGGTTTAACGCGTTGAGATCAGTTAATGTAAAAAAAAAAAAAAAAAACTTGCGTCGCACCCAGCAAGAGCATCATAACTCTGGCGACGATCTCAAGGGTTTTTCGTAAAAACTGCGCTCATTAACCGAACGAAGCAGCCGTGATCGAACCCACGACCTTCAGAATGCCAGGCAAATAGCTTGACCACTTTGCCACGGAGACGCCCACTGTCATTCTGTGTGGAGTTCTAGACCTTTATTTCTTTAAGTTCATAGAAAATGCGTTTTGCTGCTCAGTTCCCTTTATCTCTGCCATTTCTTCTGTTTCCAGAAAATAGTGACACTTGTCAGGTGGCTGATTAAGTTCAATGGTGTGTAGTTTTACCGGTGCAATGCCTGCTTTCTGACTGACCGTTTTCTCCAACAGTGAGCTGCGAATCTGGTGTGTGACCGTTAGTGCTGGCACATCTAACAGCTGCCTTATACATGTTTGCTTTGCGTGTACAAGCTTCCCGGTTTTGCTGGGACTGACAAGCTTTTCACTAGTTTTAAATGGGGCAGTGAAGGGCATGCTTTGTAATTTCCACTAATGGGGCAGTTATGGTGCTTCCTGTTTGTCACCAGGCTGGAACCTCACTAACTAACGGCTGATTTAACCGGAACGTTTGTGCTGGCAAGCAGTCGCACTCTTGTTCTATATCGCATGGTTACTTGGTTTCTTTGTTTGTTGTTCTGTTTTTGTTTGCTTTCTACTCATAAACCTACAAGAAGTGAAAGTAGCAGCATTCCTGGTGGCAGACAGGAGGTAAAGGTGCTTTCCCATTATCTGCCCCAGGATGACGTCAATGACAGTCCAATATTTTCGAGGGTGGTAAGAGCAGCTTTCTTATGCTTTTAACGACCCCAAAACATCTACAACTGCGCCTAACCCTAACCCATCTACATTCCACGAAAGATTGCAGCCTAGGTCTCACGACTGCATGCAGCCTAGGTCCCACAACTGCATGCAGTTTATATATCACCCCTAAAATATTGGACTGTCTGTTGGGGATATTGGGATAAAAAAAGGTGAAAGGAACAGAAGGAAATTGAGCTAAGTTAAATTTCGAGGAACAATATCACGGCGATAAGGATACTCCCATAAGCGCTACACCCCCATCTCCAGCGAAGAGTTACACCTCTGGTGGTAGATCTGAGTGTATTTCTGCCTTGCCTTTTCTCTGAGTGTGGAGCCTGTATTGAAATTTATGTCTTTTCAACGTTTTTAAAAAGATACTTTCTCCCCATGTGGAGGGAGGGGGAGAATACACCAACTGCCTCCCTAACATGCGTGTCGTAGGAGACAACTAATTAAGGGTTTCCTTTGAAGTCGGACTGTTTGTGAGGCAAGGAGTAAAAAAAGTAAGCCAGATCTGTAAAACATTTATGCAAGCAAAAAGTTTTAGAACAAGACTTACATCTTGAAGTGGACACACAACCATAAGTTTCCATCAGAGTTAGCCGGTGAATGTGAAGAAGAAGAAGCAGAAGATAAAGAAAAGATGCCTTTGGTAGTCAAATGATTATTGAAAACTTGCACACAATATCAAAGACAAAATCCTTGAAAGTAGTATACAAATGTCTGTGTATTTGTTCACTTACAAGAAAACATACAAGTAATTATTGAACTGGCAACTCTATGAACAACAGCACTGAGTACTCAAAAGTCTATACCACAACAGAATAGATTATATCTGAAATTATAATTGAAGCCATAGACAAAACAGATATAATAACATTTGATTTGTAAAAGCATAAAGATAACTATTTATTTATTTAACAACTAACTGGGTGAAATAAATATGATACATAAACTATTTTGCAAATCAAATGATTAAATTGGATAAATCTGACGTATAAGTTTCAGCGTAAATAACTAAATAGATAGAATACATTTAACTAAAAATGAACAGAGATGGAAAAAGCCATGCAAAATAATATTCAAAATGAGAATACTGGCCGCAAAGTTCACTCCTCTGCAACAGCACATCATCTTCTAAAATCTGGACACGTAGTGACTAAAAATTACGCATTTCAAATCCTTCATAGGTCAACCAATGGCAGAACGCTAAGATTTCTCGAAGCATCCGCGATTCGTCACCTGCACCCGGAACTCAGTATTCAGAAAGAGATGGTTCTTTCTTTACGGCTGTCCTGGTAAAAACAGGCAGTCATATTGTGTTTGATCGTTGTTGAAATTGTACTTCAGTTATAAAGGATTCACTTATTTGCTTCATTTATGTAATTGTTACTGTAGTATGTACCTGACGAGATACAGCGAAATATGCCAGACAATAAATTGTGTAATCTATTGTTTGTATCTTCT